ATTAATGTCTTATTAACTTGTTTCCATTTCAGCGCTTCGAAACCAAAATTTGGCAAGTGCTGAGAAAAAGATCAAATTCAGTCACCACTATCTACTGGAAATAAATTCAGTCACCACTACCTGCTGGAAAATAAAATATAACGACTGAGAGATCTAAAAATTTGAATCGTTGCCAGTCGTTTACCTGAAATGTAGTTCATTCATTTAATTTCCTTGGAATATCGGAATAAACTTAAACTTTTTACTTTCCCAACTTTACTGCGATATTAAAAACTTATATAAGTACCCATACCATAAGAGCCAAAGCACACGATGCGTTGCGGCGCCGCACCGCTCGTGTGCCCGCTCCTTGTGTACTTTGAATTATGGTCCTATGTCCTCTAGATGAGGCAGAGGGCGTGTCCACAACAGTCCTCCATCGAGTTCGGTCTTGATATTTCTATGTAAAATAACGCAGCGACACCGCTCCGGCGACGCACCGCCGCCGCAACGCATTGTGTGCTTTAGCTCTTCTTCCTGATTTCTCGACTTTAGTCTATTTATATTACTTGACTATAGATCATTTCAGGATAAAAAATATTCCATATCATGCTATTGTTTGCTGTATGTTGTTACCATAATAAGTAGTGACAAAAGTTATTTAGAAATGTGTACTTAAAGTCAACGGTGTTTCGCGGCGAAGTAAAATAAATCACGTTGACTATGACTGATTTAGAGCCTAGTTTAGACGGGCGTACAAATGAAAAGACATCGAGGTAAACACTGTGGAATCTTATGTAGTTGAAATAAAAGCTACTTTGCAACAATAATGTAGAGTCTGATGTGGTGTCTGTCTATCCTAAACCCTACCAGTTATTAATGCGTAAGCACGTTGTAGACCTTATTGAAAATAGGCCGCGTAAGGCCGCTATTATATAATAATCCGGGATTTAGCAAGAATTATATCTGTCCCTTGGATTTCTTTATAATATATGCAATTATTTGGGACGGCGATTGTAGTTGACAAGATGTCAGTTTTTAGTTAGAATGACTATTATTCCAATGTTGGAGTAGAGAGCTCTGAGGTAAATATTATTATAAAATAAACCAATTACTTACTCGATTTTCAAATAATGCTCTAACTCCACTGGCTCAAGGTTTATCTCACCCTTGATGGCAGAATAATAACTAGAAATAACTAGCGTAATCGTCGTAAGCATGAATGAACAAAATCCATCCATCTCCATGACATATTTCCTTCCTCCAGTTCGACTTTGCAAAGTAGATACAGACGACAGCTCATCAAGCTTAACACTGTGGCATCTTATCTCATCGTAATAGGTGCTATTTTGCAATAAAAATGTACAGTCTGATTTGCTTACTGTACATATCGAGTAAGAGTCGTCGCACACGGGCCACCGGCCACAACCATCACAAAACGCCGGCGTTTTTCCTGTATTTTTCAAACATTTAATATGGACTCGGTTGACGCCGTGCCGTTGGCCGCTACACGCTACAAAACGCCGCTGCTCGCTTTTTGTGACCACAAAAAAAGGCCACTACACGCCACTCGCGCGTTTTCTTTCACTTACCTCAGTGAGCCTGCATCTAAATGTAGCGGCCTATGACCACAAATTGTGGTAAATGGCGAACCAGCCACAAGGTGCTGTCGCGCGCTTCAGCTACATTATATGGCCGCTTCTAGCTACATTTTGTGGCCCGTGTGCGGCGACGCTAAGAGCCAACATCTTGAAAATTTGCAGCTCTAGTCGTAAATTTTCCCCAGTCACTTATCCCTTCGCCTAGTCTGCGGGATCTCGCCAAGGGTCTGTCTCTAGATTGACGGTGGAAAATCGAACTTCTCGAAGCCTTTTAAATTAAAACGGAAGGAAGATTGAATTCTTTGTTGGATAAGACGGATGAGCGTTTTTGTTGTACCAGCCATTCTTTTATTGTTTGCTATTGAATATTTTTATCTTGTTTATTTTTGATTACTCCTTTTCTTTATTAGGTTTATCATTTATTCTGTTTCTCTATTAACTGTTGTCGCATATTTGAAATGAAATATAAATAATAATAAATAAATAAATAAAATAAAAGTTTATTTAACAACTTTAACATTTTTTACATTTCTTACATTGCATTGTTGTACATACATTTCCTTAAAGACCCGTTTAATGCTAAGGTTGTACCGACATACGCTTCAGTTCATAAAGTAACTGAGATTTCTACGCTAGGCTAAGCCTGTCATGTAGACAATCTTTTGTCACAAGTTAACAAAATTATTTATATCATATGCGACCTCAACTGTCAGTCCACAACGAAAAAGAAAAATTATGAAAATTATAATATTTATGCATGCATAATTGGACCGTGTTTGTGTGTGTGAGTGTGTGNATATTTTATTGTCGGAGATCTGGTGATGCCGCCACAAGAACAGGGTTGTTGAGGTTGCCTATTTCTACACTCGTGAATCGTAATGTCAGTGAGAGAGGGCGAGGAAGTCAGAGTCTTGTAGAAACAGAGANAGCGCCTCTAGTCCAAAACTTAGCAAAGCTTGTAATTTAAACAAACATGGCAATGTACCATTCTGCTTGCTTATTGGCCGCTAAGCCAACTCAGTAACCAATGATGGACGATTATCACTCAACCATAAAGTATCGCGTAAATTAAAAGATATTTTTAATTAAAAATATTAACCAATAATATTTTTTGTTAGATCAAATATATTTTAAAGTTAAGTTATACATAGATCGAAATGTATTTATTAGGTGATCGATATTAAAAGGCAAACTTGATATAAAAATCATCAAATTAACAAAATTAAAGATCAATAACTAAAAAAGAGGATCAAATATTATTTTTGTTTACCAAATATTAAAAGAGTATGTTAAACATAAATATTATGTTACCTTTAATGAAGATCATTCATAATTTATCCGTAGATCAACTAATATAGACCCAATAATTAATATAAAGATAAAATATAATAAAAAACATCATTTATTTTTAAAAGTGCACATACAAAAAAGATCAATTAGTTTTTAGAGGATCAAATAATATTGTCCCTTCTGATATTACATTTCATGCAATATACAGTATAAAGCTGCCAACAACTCAAACAAAATAAAAATTAACTCTAAATAAAGAAATTGGTCCTCTGAAATAAAATTAAGCAAAAATAAACGTTTGATAGCCTATTTGACAACGTTCACTGGGATGAACAATCAAACATTGTTGGTAATTTGGCAATGTTCACTGGGATGAACACTCGACTTTGACCTGGTATAGCATCGCTTATTTATTAAATGAGCATTGTAAATCAATCAAGTTATTGAGCATGAACACTATGCAATACGTTAAAACCACTGTCATTACTCAATTATAATAAAAAACATGTAAAGCTTGAATAAACACCTTGACACTAAAGCCTGGTCTTCGCTATGTGGCATTTTGGCTAAAATTAACGCTTTCAGACTGTAGCTAGCACATAAAAATATTTTTCTACCAAAATTTAAGTATATTTTCTAGTGAAAAAAAAAACTTACCAGTAATTAAGACGTATGCACTCGGCATATTATTTTTTTCAATTTAATGTTCATCGCAGTGAACAAAATCAAATGAAGGGTTAAGTGACAGTTACTTACTACGTAGTAAAACTAATTAAGTAGCAGTGGGCGGGGCCAGCTCTTACCAGGTAGCAGAATCAAACTTGCTCAAAATACTTAAGTGGCAGTGTGCGGGGCTTACAACAGTGGCTGGAAGACGTAGCGTAGGTAGGCTTCTCACTTACTCCTGCTTTCTCGAATCTCGACATTCGAGAAACGCTAGAATTGCCTCTGAACCACGATTAAGGGGGGGGGGGGGAGCACGCTTGTTCGAGTCAGTTTGACACTGGCACCGTTACGCTGTTGTCGCCTCTTTAAATATGATAAAAGGGAGGTATTCCCTTTACCACCCTTTTGTCGCCTCTTTGAACCATAACAAAAAGGGGGTATTACCTTTACTAACCTTAATTTCTTCATCTATTTCTCCCTTACTAAACAGCAGCACAGTATGAGGTGGTACACGCGATGCCTTGTACACAACTAGTGCCCGCCGCTCAGAAGAATGCTGTCCGCCGAAGAAGCACAACAACGATTGCTTGTTTCTTCGCTTGTGGACACTATAGACTGTTACTGCCTATGTGGCTAACAGGCTACTTACTTACCAAGTAACAAACAAACTTGCTTAAGTAACTAGTGGGTGGGGTCACCTTTTACTCATCACGTAAAAGAAACTAAGTATTAGCTGGTAGAACTGATGACCGTTGGGGTAGATAAACTTACCAGTGTCTAGAAGACGTAGTGTTGACAGGCTTCTTACAAGGTGGACCGACGATCTAGTGAGGGTCACAGGGAGCACCTACATGCGGGTAGCATAGGTCAAGTCATTGCTGAAATCCTTAGGAGACATTTGGTGGAAATAAACGAAGAGTAGGTTCGACGGAGTTTGAACTAGCGTTTCTCGAATCTCGAAATTCGAAAAATGCTTTCTCGAGATTCGAGAAAGGCCAGTTTGAGTCAGTTTGCTATGGCTTTTTTGCAATATGATAAAAGGTATTACCTTTACTAACCTTAATTTCTTCATCTATTTCTCCCCCACCAAACAGTACCACGGTATGAGGCGGCACTCGCGATGCCTTGTACACGACTAGCGCCCGTCGCTCAGAAGAATGCTGCCCGCCGAAGAAGCACAACAAGGACTGATTGTTGCTTCGCTTATGGACGCCATAGACTGTTACTGCCTATGTGGCTAACAGGCTACTTACTTACCAAGTAACAGAAACAAACTTGCTTAAGTAACTAGTGGGTGGGGTCACCTTTTACTCATCACGTAAGAGAAACTAAGTATTAGCTGGTAGAACTGATGACCGTTGGGGTAGATAAACTTACCAGTGTCTAGAAGACGTAGTTTTGACAGGCTTCTTACAAGGTGGACCGACGATCTGGTGAGGGTCAAAGGGAGCACCTAGATGCGGGTACCTTAGGGCAGTCATTTGGTGGAAATAAACGAAGAGTAGGTTCGACGGAGTTTGAACTAGCGTTTCTCGAATCTCGAAATTCGAAAAATGCTTTCTCGAGATTCGAGAAAGGCCAGTTTGAGTCAGTTTGCTATGGCTTTTTTGCAATATGATAAAAGGTATTACCTTTACTAACCTTAATTTCTTCATCTATTTCTCCCCCACCAAACAGTACCACGGTATGAGGCGGCACTCGCGATGCCTTGTACACAACTAGTGCCCGTCGCTCAGAAGAATGTTGCCCGCCGAAGAAGCACAACAAGGACTGATTGTTGGTCCGCTTGTGGATACCGTAGTTGACGCTTTCACTGCCTATGTGCGCGCGGTCGCCTTTGCTGTGAAATTCAATTTGAGAATTAGTAAAGTATACGATAAAACCTCATAAAGGTAGCAGGAAGGCCTTACCAAAACAGGCCTTTGCAGCAGTGGATGTCCTGTGGCTGAAATAATGATGATATGCAAATTGGAGAAGGACGTTGCAATTAATACAAAGATGCGTTCAAAAACATCACAAAATTATGATAACTTCATAATTTTGTGAATTATAAAATATTATATGAATTTACGTTTAGAGAGTTAGGTTAAATTATACATAATTAGTTAATTATTTATGGTAAGTTAAGCTCGATACAATATTATAGTTGTTATTAAATAAAAACTTATTAAATTAAACGAAATGTGTATGTGGTCACTACTACATAATAATTATTATTACAGCAAAAACCTAAAAACGCAGCAATAAGTCAGTGTCACTTTGCAAACGTCAATACTTTACCTAGTAAAAAGTTCAGTAACTGTAGCCAGTTTCCCTTTAGTCTTCACATGCCTTTTAGTGGTGAGCAGAGCGTCCGCTCCGGACAGTAGCATGGCAGTGGACAGCTCTTCGACGTCCGAGAACCGGGTCAGCTCTTCGGTGTCCGGATTCGGTTCTATGAAGCCGGACTTGAGGAGCTGTTCTAGGTGGAGATTGGACAGTGCTGGAAGGATTAATTAATTATGATGTTTTATTGGCTGTGTAAAGAGCGAGAGAGAGGTGTATTTAAGTTTGAGTGTCAAGTGAAAAGCAAATCCACCAAGAACAATGGTAAGTAAAACATATTGTCTATTTAAGATAACAGATGGCGCTGTGCTCTTTTAGCTCGCGCTAACATTTGTGTTTTTCCTGGCTTTATATACCTCCTGGAAATGTATGCCCACCCAGGTTCAACTATTAGCTTAGCTTGAATCTCAATAAATGATGCTATTGCCTGTAAAATAGCTTTCATTTTCCCATGCACACATCGCTATCGTAGGGTTGTACAAGAGGTATAAAGAAGGATGTAGGCATTATCATTGCAAATTGTAATTAATTTCCGATTTGATCACGTCAGCAAACTCCGAAAATAGCTCGCTTCATCGCACTTCGGGTGACCTTGTGCTTTCTTATGAGAGCTATATAAGGGACCACGTCTTATAGGCTTACTTAGAAGTCTCGCTGACATTTGACGTTACAAAAACACTTTCCCGTGCCTATACCCCCTTATTACAAAAAGTTAGACTCAGTTTGAACCTTGGTTTAAATTGACATTTATTCGTTCGTTCGTTCGTTTCAGCAAAATGACGTCCACTGCTGGACAAAGGCCTCCCCCAAGGTTTTCCACAATGAACGGTCCTGCGCTGCCCGCATCCAGGCTCTTCCCGCGACCTTTACCATATCGTCGGTCCACCTAGTAGGAGGCCTGCCCACGCTACGTCTTCCAGCCCGTGGTCGCCGGTCACTCGAGAACTTTCCTGCCCCAACGGCCATCGTCTATTTGGACTATATCTCTATGACATTTATTATGGAAATGTCATTTTAAACCAGAGTTCGTCCAGGGTTTAACTTTTTTGTAATAAGGCATGGGCCTTACAGTGTGCGTTGCCCAGTTAAGGAACTATGGAGTTCCTTAACTGGGCAACGCACACTGATCAAAGACTTTTGTCTTGAGACACTGTAATAATTAGTCACTAAATGTTGTCTTTTTACAAATATTGTATATTTATACTCACATTTAACATAATTGAGCCTGTCTCTCCTCAATCCATGTTTCTCGCACCAAACATCAGCTTCTTTCCAACCGAGTTCATTAACAGTATTCTCGAAGTCGTATTGTATCCAGTGCAACGCGCTGTGATCTGACGTAGCGCTGAATTTTGATTTGATTTCACGGATTTCTGTAAAGAAAGAGACAGGTAATTAGAGATGGTAAAAGAGGAGGAATGAGAGGGAGTGTTACTGTCTTTTTTGAATACTAAATCCGGGCCTTTTCAAGGCGAGAGTGAATAGGCGCTTACAGGGCAGATATGTACCATCCTAGACTGCATCTCACATAACATCAGGTGCGATTGCGGTCAAATACCTGCCTTGTCTTGGATAAATATAGGGGCAAAATAAACAAGAGAGACATTAAGATAGCTAGAAAGCGAAGAAAGACAGATTGGGAGAAATATAAACGAGCAAGATCGAGAGAAATTCTGATAGCAAGACAGATGGAGAAAGAGAGAGATCTAGGACCATTCATCTTATCAGCTGCGTTTATTTAGAAAGAGAGTAAGAGAGAGAGAGAGAGAGAAAGAGCATGAGAGAGAGAGAGAAAGAGCATGAGAGAGATAAAGAGAGAGAGAGAGAGAGAATAAAAACAGTCTACTCACCATCTCACCTTATGTCAGCCGCGTCTATTCAGAAAGAAAGAGAGAAACGAAGAAAGAAGTAAAAATGAAACAGCTCACCATATCTCCTATCGGCCGCGTCTCTAAAAACCTCCACGTTGTCGGAGCAGTGCGTGGCAATATTAGCGAACGCCAGCACGCTTCCACTCGCGGCCGCTTGCAGCAGGCCGGTAGCCAGCCGCGGGTGTAGCGTCATTGTGGATATTATACTGATAGAGGTGTGCAGAGAGAGAAAGTGAGATAGAAGAGAGGGACGAAGAATGAGAGAGAGAGGAAGAAAGAGAGACAATAAGCGGGAGAGGGGAAGAGAGAGGACAAGAGAGAGAATTGGCGAGAGGAGAGAGCTAGAGAGAGTGAGGGAGAGAGAGCTAGAGAGAGAGAGAGAGCGAGAAAGTGAGAAAGAAAGAGAGCAAGAGTGAGACGACACAGTGAGAGAATAAGAACAGTCTACTCACCATTTCACTTTATGTAAGCCGCGACTGTTTCTAAAAAAAGATAGAGAGAGAGACGAAGAGAGAAAGAGATAGTAAAAATAAGAACAGTTCACTCACCATCTCACTTTATGTCAGCCGCATCTATTCGGAAAGAGAGAGAGAAACAGTCTCCTCACCTTATATCAGCGGCGTCCGTTTAGAAAGAGAGAGAAACAGACAGAGAGAGAATAAGAACAGTCTACTCACCATCTCTCCTATCAGCCGCGTCTCTAAACACCTCCACATTGTCGGAGCAGTGCGTGGCAATATTAGCGAACGCCAGCACGCTTCCACTCGCGGCCGCTTGCAGCAGGCCGGTAGCCAGCCGCGGGTGTAGCGTCATTGTGGATATTATGCTGCCCAGTTTGGTTAGCTGTTCTGTTTTGGTTAGGGCGCCTGGAATTTGAGAATGCAGTTTAATTTAATTTGTCGGCCGTTTGGTGTAGTGGTTCAGAGCGGACTACTATGCCGAGAGGTCCCGGGTTCGATTCCCGGCCGGGCAGAAATTGAAATGATGAATTTTAATTTCTGTGACGGGTCTGGGTGTTACTATGTATAACTAGCTTTCCGCCCGCGGCTTCGCCCGCGTGGAATTTTGTCTGTCACAGAAAAACTTTATCGCGTGCGTCCCTGTTTCAAAAACCGGGATAAAAACTATCCTATGTTCTTTCCCGGGACTCAAACTATCTCTATGCCAAATTTCATCAAAATCGGTTGCGAGGTTTAAGCGGGAAAGCGTAACAGACAGACAGACAGACAGACAGACAGACAGACAGACAGACAGACAGAGTTACTTTCGCATTTATAGCCTGACCAGGAACATAAAAACCCTGGCATAGAGGCGCCTCAATTGCATTTGATAGTGCAACACTGAGTACAGTCGTACCTGTGTTAAATTAATAGGCTAACTTTATGTATCAGGATTCAGGATTACGGGCTAATTTGATATTTTCATAAATTAACGAAAAAATATTATTATAGGTAACCTGATTTAAATAAATTAAATGAAACCATCAATCGACCTAGTAGAATTTATTTTATTATTCATCAATAATCACATTCAGAACTTGAATATTCAACTGCAATGTCTGCTCATGAACGCTTTAAACTCGGTACTTCTTTCCCAATCCCATAAAATTCAACACCTAGAAAGTGACAAAAAATTTTAAAATAGGTAGTTGAAACAAACCACAGCTAATTTTCATAGTGGACTGTACTATACGATAAACATGTCAGTCAATTTGACAACCTTTGTCGGAAATATTATTCAATTAAAATATTGTCCGAACCCTCAGTATTTCTCTTCGACAAATACTTTAATACATTGTGAACCACTTTTCTTTCAAGACTATAAAAATATTTTAGCAATTTAATTCATAAAACCAATTGCGCACATTTAAAATAAAGTTTGTTTACACTTTGACAGCAATAGACTGACATGCAAGGTGACATGTCAATGGAGTTTTCAGTTACTGTTGCCATTAAAAGAAATTAGTACCATTAGTTTTCCGCAACATGGCGAGGGTTTTTATGTTCCTGGTCAGGCTATATAATATTAGTTGGGATATGTATGTATTTAAAAAAAAAGTATATAAGTAGTACATATATCCGTTAAGCTAGCACCCATAACACAAGCTTTGGGGCTAGCTGGCGCTGTGTGAAATTGTCCAAAGATTTATTATTTATTATATTATTATAGTTTAACGGTCGTTTGTAGTAGTATCATATTTCCAGCGGTCATTTTTTATTTTTTTTAGATGGAGTAGTTCGCTCCTTCTTAAATATGTATTATATCATTAAGGTGCAAGCCGCCTCCACACACCAACAGCAGACTTGTCGTCGCGACACTACTGATGTATTTCTATGACACGTTTGTCTGAATGTATTTTATAGAATACATAAAACGCGTCTCCTGCTGCTGGTACTGCTATTTTGAATGGACCCAGAATTAAAATGACTTAGAAAATAAAAGCACATCATACTAAGCACTTTTAATGCACTTATTTAAAAAAATACAAAACAAGCAGGCGAAAGGTCGTGGGTTCAATTCCTACCTTAGACAGTTCGATTTTTTCAAGTGGTTTATATAAAACACCTTATTTAAATTACTTGAAAAAACAAAGGTTAGTTTAAGACATTTAGTTAGAGATACATATATTTCCTATCTCTATTTACATATTAATATTCAATAATACGTACCCAAATCAATCAAGTCATTAACGGCAAACTTGATAGCTTTCTCTCCAGGCGGCTCGGGCAGTTGCGACAAGAAATCCGCGACCTTATCTTCTGGAGCATAAGTCTTACAATCCAATACGGTTTGTTCTAGCGGTATTCTGAGAATCTCTGGCGTGGTGTGTGGAGCGAAATCGGATTCCTTGTCTTTGGTGTACAGTCTGTAGCAGTGGCCTGGGAATAGATTTTAAATTAGATATTTATACATTTACCTATGTTTTACAAATAAATGATTTGATTTGATTTGAACACTAAGGCTGAGTTGCACCACCTAACTTTGACCGTAACTATGACGATAACCGGTGGTTTTTGTATGGAGTGTGACAGATTTTTGACGTTTGTCAAAGTTAAAGTAAGATGGTGCAACCTAGCCATAGTTAAGAACAAAAAGCTTTCCTATTTGTCAAGGGCAGAATTTAAAAGTAAATTAGATAAAAGAATAAAGACGTCACTTTGAAACAAACGCAGAAAAATACGGTTTTTTCATTTTGCGCTCTTCTTAATATTACAAAATATTATGTAGAGAATCGCTATTGTTATGTAAGGCAGTTTATTAGATATTGATGAATATTGCAATTGATTTTACACTTTAACATAAGAACTTAAAGTTCAAAGTCTGTTGGGGAGAAACGTTGTAGAATTGTAGGCTGTTTTCCTACATGAGATCTTTAGGAACGCAGAGAAGAGTATGGCTACAGATAAAAATTGTTGAACAATATGAAAAAAAAAAGGTTAATAGCAGAACATTGAGGCATCTTGCCCATTTCTTGTCCCGAAGCAGTGGTAGGGTTAATACTGGGACGTGTAAAAGTGCTTTTCAAAAGCCTATTTGCAAAAATACATGAGTTTTATCAGAGTTTTTCATGAGACTTGGCAATCAAAGAAAACTATTTTTATGAAACCAACAAATAAATAAACACACTGGGGAGGGTTAAAATAAAATACATAAATACCTGGTTGCACTCTGCCCGCGCGGCCCGTCCTTTGTTTAGCAGCTGCCTGGGAAACCCACACTGTTTCTAAGCTGGCAGTGCCTAAAAATTTACAAACAATTACATTCAATGAGAACTTCATCCTTTTTGAAGTCGGTTAAAAATCGATATCTAGCAAACATCAATACAAAGTGGATTTTTTACAGTTAAAAGGTACACGCTTGATATTTTTCCCAACATGTCGTTTGCAACAAGCTTTGAATTTAATTTCTGAGTGAAACCTGTCTTTTTCTATCTTATCTTTTAGTCTTTCACTTATCACGCAGCGTCCTATACATCTACGTGTTAGGCCCAGAACACACCGTGAAACGCAATAGGCTAGTTGCCTAAAAAAATTTTTTTAGTCCGTAATGTTTAATATCAAAAAATATTGGACACGTATATTTTTATTTGTCAATCTAACAAATAATTACATAGTTATGGTGCGTTGAAGTTGCGCACGACGTCACAACGTGCGGCATTTTTAAGCAAGCGTTGACGTCACGGGCCTCTTCTTATGAACTTTGGGGCGCTTTATCTCTTTAAATTTTCATTAGTTTGAAAAAGTGAAAAATACGTGTAGAGTATTTTTTGATAAGTTAACTGACGGACTAATTAAAACTCTTGCTTTTTGACCCAGGCAACATCCCCATTGCAACGAAACTGCAACCTCTAGTTACTTTTGAGTTTCATCTAAGTTTCTGCCATAGATTCCGTTGAGAGACCACACATGACGCGACCATATCAAACCGGTTTCAAACGGTCAGTTTCGTTGCAATTGCGTTTCACCGTGTGTTCTGGGTTTTAACGATGTTCAATTCACGCTACACAATTTTGTTGATAAAACAGTCTAATAGTTTTCGCGTGAAGGAGAAACGAAACCAACTTTTATCAGATCCCAACTAATATTATAAATGCGAAAGTAACTCTGTCTGTCTGTCTGTCTGTTACGCTTTCCCGCTTAAACCTCGCAACCGATTTTGATGAAATTTGGCATAGAGATGGTTTGAGTCCCGGGAAAGAACATAGGATAGTTTTTATCCCGGTTTTTGAAACAGGGACGCGCGCGATAAAGTTTTTCTGTGACAGACAAAATTCCACGCGGGCGAAGCCGCGGGCGGAAAGCTAGTTTATAATAATCGCGTTAAGAGTAGGCGCACACCGTTGATTTTTCGTCGGCCGATAGTTTAGTCGGGCAGTTGATCAGTATGGGCATGTATGGGAGTGCGCACACTACGCCGATTCGATTTGGCCGATTCTTCATACAATTTAAAATCGGGCACAACTATCGGCCAACTAAAAATCAACGGTGGTACTTTGTATGTAATGTTTTTGGTATACCGTAATAAATAAAATAAAAATAAAATAAACGGTGTGCGCCTACTCTAAAAGCTGTTTAAATTAATACAAATATGCCACGCGAAAGTTTAAAATTAATTAGATTTATAATATTACCATTAATAACACAATAATTCCCCATACCTGTTCCCTCTTTAATTCTGTTTTCCTTATGTGCTCCCGAGTCTATAACGTACACCACATCTGGTATAGTGATAGAGGTTTCAGCTATATTTGTAGAAAGGACTATTTTGCGGATACCGGGCGATGGTCGTGCGAACATTTTGGTTTGGTCTGCGGTTGATAGCCTGGAAACATAAAGGATTTAAATCTATACTAATATTATAAATGCAAAAGTAACTCAGTTTATCTTGCTTTCACGCCTAAACCCCTGAACCGATTTTGATGAAATTTGGCATTGCGATAGTTTGAGTCCCGGGAAAGGACATAGGATAGTTTTTATCCCGGTTTTTGAAACAGCGATAAAGTTTTTCTGTGACAGACAAAACTCCACGCGGGCGAAGCCGCGGGTGGAAAGCTAGTACTTACTTAAATATTTAGCCCCTTACTAATAAAACTTGAACAGTGTTTTACGAAAATGACATTTTAACAGTTAGCAACATCAACAACTATGTAACTTTTTATTAATTAGGGTTAGTTGGGGTTAGGCTATGCCTACATTCTACATTACTTACCTAGAATGAACAGGCAAAATCATGTGCGTAGTAGAATTCCCGTACTTTTCGTCTAATAATTTTTTGGTAGTTTTGATCTCGACCCAACCCGGGAGAAATACTAGTATAGCTCCTTCTGGCTCATTGCTGTCCACTGCTTTTATTACTTCTACTAGCTGGAATATAGAAATAGAAAAAAGTTCATTTAACCAGTAATTTATTTATTTATTATTATTCACACCTTACAAGCTAACAGAATACATTCCAAAGCGCTTATAAGAAAATTATAAATAGGTTATCATGCATGTCAATAAGTATAATAATAGTTCAATGTCAATAATATAATAATAATTAGGTCAAATTAAATAAAAACAATAGAATTGAATCAAATTACCGAATGTCAATAGAACAATAAAATTTCAAATTAATAGTAAATTAAGAAAATATAATAAGTAACATTTATACAGGGTGTCCCATAAAGACCGTGGCAAACTTAAGCAGAAAATAGACCATCCTAGATTGTAGACAAAAATTGACCTTAGTAAAAGAATCACCGTTTCGGGTTTTCTCTTTTCAAGTTTTACGTTTACCAAAGATGTCATCATCATCATCATCATCATTTCAGCCATAGGACGTCCACTGCTGAACATAGGCCTCCCCCAATGATTTCCATGAAGGCAAATTGGTAGCGGTCTGATTCAGCGCCTTCCCGCTACCTTTATGAGGTCGTCTGTCCACCTTGTGGGTGGACATCCTACGCTGCGCTTTCCGGTACGCGGCCTCCACTCCAGAACCTTGCTTGCTTGCTGTCAGTTCTGCGTACTATGTGCCCTGCCCATTGCCACTTCAGCTTGCTAATCCGTCGGGCTATGTCAGCGACTTTGGTTCGTTTACGGATCTCCTCATTTCTGATTCGATCTCGTAAAGAAACACCGAGCATAGCCCTCTCCATAGTACGCTGTGCAACTTTGAGCTTCTGTATAAGGCCTATAGTGAGAGGCCACGTATGAAAGCGAAAGGTCACTGACTCACTCATCACGAAATCTCAGAAACTACAAGTGCTGTGAGTCTCAAATTTTGCAAGAGGGTTCCTTTTAAAACATAAGTGCTCACTAAGACGGGATTTTTCAAAATTCAACCCCTAAACGGGTAAAACGGGATCCACACGTAAGAAGTCGCGGGCGGCCGCTAGTTAATTAAAAATCGAATAAGGTAATTTTTACCTCTTGACAGTTAACATAAGGTTTCCCGTCCACTTTCTTGCTGTTCTCTTCTGTGACCCGTAGATTCAATCCGAACTTCTTCTGTATGTCTTCTAGATGGGACACTTCAACTGGATACGTTCGGCCTGGCACTTCGATGACTGGACATGAATCGAAATACCTGTGAATTTGTAAATTGAGATTTATTATCACAGTAATAAGTTAAAATTGTATTTTATTATGTAACCGTGCGCTATGTTCACAGGATGTTAAAAGCATCAATTTTTATTACAATAATTGTATTTAATAAAATATTGTAGAGAGAATAGACATAAATATAGGGAAAGAAAGAAGGTAGGGGGAGATATAGAAAAGGGGAAATAAAGGGGGAGGGAGAGGGGAGGAAGTTAGGGAGAAAAAGTAAGTAAAGTAAGTAAGTAAGTAAACATTTATTTGCTGCACACAAAGTCACATACATTGTTTGACACGATTACATAATTAAATATTTAACATGCACATTCAAAATAAAAATAACAATTAGAGATGAAATAATGTGAGCAGAGTTGTGGCAGAAAAATGAAAGGCACATGATAATGGTCTGAAAAAAAAATCTAAGGCTGAGTTGCACCGTCTTAAACGTCAAAAATATATATACAAGATTGCGTGGTATATTAAACAAGGTAGTGACGTGCTAATATCTAGACTTACATATTAAGACACTAGTAGAAAATTGACTCGCATACATAAATTTGAATAACTGGATTGACCAGTCCCCGAAAGCAGCGCCTGTTCACAGACATGACGAGTGAACCAGCCATCGCTTCACTCGACCATATTAGAGGGAATGTAACGACCCGCCTCACTACGCCACCACCCCAGAGACATTTTAGTGAGAATGACAATTCCAAGTTATCTCTTTAAAAAAAAACTAATAATAAAGCTAAGTAACAGTCCAGATTGAGAAGCATGACACTATAACATTTGAGAAATTATTATTAGTTTATACATTACTTTTCATTTTAATTCTTTTTAGTGCGAGCATGAGAGGACCATAATCCTACTCCCAGGATGACTTATCATTAAGAAAATCTCGAGTTGTATAATAGGCTTTTTTAAGCATGTGATCTTTAACTATACCTTTAAATTTATTATACGGTCCGTAGCTCTTTATATTTATCAGAATAAAAATGTTCTTACAAACTTACTTGATAAAAACTTCTGTATCCAGCGTAGCGCTCATAATGACAACTTTCAAGTCAGGGTTGACATTTAGCGCCTTCTTTAGCAGTAGTAACGTTATGTCAGTGTTGACGTCACGCTCGTGCGCTTCGTCTATGATCACGTGCGTGCATCCTTGTAGACCTGAGAGGCAATATTGTTTATTTAAATAAATAAATAAATCTTTGGACGATTTCACACAGCGCCAGCTAGCCCCAAAGTAAGCAACTCAATGCTTGTGTTATGGGTGCTAGCGTAACGGATATACTACTTATATACTTTTTTTTAAATTAAATACATACATATTATACATATTTACACCCAGACCCGTCACAGAAATTAAAATTCATCATTTCAATTTCTGCCCGGCCGGGGATCGAACCCGGGACCTCTCGGCATAGTAGTCCGTTCTGAACCACTACACCAAACGGCCGACAATTATTATTATTATTAAACATTATTATTATACATATACTTATTAATACTGAATAAAATGTGACGATTTTTGTGTACATTTGAAATTAAAGGATCCTCCTTTAATTTCAAATGTGCAATGTGCAATAGGCAAATTTTTAATGCAAAAAAGAACTTTCATCACTTCTTTGTTCATGTTACTGATATGAAAACTCATTTAACTTGTATTTTTAAAATCTTAGACAGTAAATTTTCGATTTGAAACAACAGCAAGGGAAGGTTTTAGCTTAGCATTAATATAGCCTTTTTATTTGCTGAGTCAAAGTGTTGATCAATAATCATCATTATTTCTCTCATAAGACCAATGCTAGATAAAGGCCTCCCCCAAGGATTTCCACTTTTCCACGACGACTGGTCCTAACGTTGCCCGCATCCAGGCACTAAATCGTCGGTCCATCGAGCTAGAAGTGGGTAATGTTACAAAACGTGAATGTACCTGGATTCGTCTGAAGTCTCCTGAGAAGTACTCCTGATGTGCAGTAAAGTATGGACCCTCCGGGAGGCCTGGGTGGTTTGGAGTGGAGTCTTACTTGGTACCCGATAGATTCTCCAACCTGAAATTGACACAAAGTGAGGGTATAATAAGACCTGAAAAATAGATACAATATGAGGTAGAGATCTCAAGATCTAACGCTTAAGCGTTCGGCTTGATTTGGGATGGCTTTGCGCATCATTTCTTCTTCTGCCTCGCCTTATCCCGTTACGCGGGTTCGACTTTCCCAATTTATTATTTATTTATTTATTTATTTAAAATATTACCCATTCATTTAAACTACTTCCTTTAGTAGGTATCAATACTATCGATACTGATAATGTCAAGAAGACAGACATGAGAAGTCGATTCATCATCATTTCAGTCACAGGACGTTCACTGCTGAACATAGGCCTCCCCCAATGATTTCCAGACTGGTCGGTTGGTAGCGGCCTGCCTCCAGCGCCTTCCTGCTTATAAGGCTATCTGTCCATCTTATATGCTGCGCTTTCCTGTATAAAGCCTCCATTCCAGATCTTTGCAGAGCGCATTATTAACATCATTGATTAATAACAACATTATAGATCGTTTCATCCACGAAGACGCGCCCCACCAATTTATGGTCTCAGTCGCGCGGGGTGCGGGGAGTTTGATCCGAGCAATCCGAGCGTCATTATTGTAGTGTGCGTGTGCACTCATGGATGATTTAGCGTGTACCGATAACACTCAAACATTAGCGGAAGAATGGTGGATGTAATGATCTATAACTTACTTCTTCCCCCAATTCACTGGCAACCCTCTGCGCCAGTCCTATAGCGGCCACTCTCCTTGGCTCCGAGACTATCGCCGCCATATTAGCGCCGCAACTTTTCAAGATGGCCGCCGGCGCACGCGTCGATTTCCCGCAACCGGCCGCTCCCACTATCACTAGCACGCGGGAGTTTTGTAGCGTTGATGTTATTTCGTGACTGGAATAAAGAGTTTTTGTTATTTAAAGTTTTATTGACATCTGATGGTGATACCGTTAGGCTGGTTTTAGTGTCACGCGGACTGTCAGTGCGGATCGCTCCGCACAGCCGATGCGGTTCCTACGGACCGCATTACTCTAAAACGCTCCCTAGAAGTTCATACAGATTGGCTGTGCGGAGCGGGTCCGCACCGGACGGTCCGCTTGACACTAAAACCAGCCTCAGTATCGATAGTGAGTGACGCCCTAAGTGACAAAAAAACTGTCAATACAACGTAACAAAGACGTGTTGCGAACTTTTCGGTTACTTTGGGTGTCACGAATTATTTGACGCTGACTGTATGTGTGATGTTTCAAAATAATTTCAGCCACATGACGTCCACTGCTGAAGATAGGCCTTCCCCAATGATTTCCAGATTGGACAGCTAGTAGCTGACAGTGGTAGCTACCTAGTAGATCCAACGCCATCTTGCAACTTTTAACATTAACTTTCGTTTAACTTTCTTTAGTTTCAACTGGAGCAAAAGAGAACATAATAACTGTTTAACGTATTTTAGACACCAATAAATTCATTATTATTTTGATATAATCAAGCACAGCCTTTGATGGTTTACTTTCAATGCCCTGATATAATTTCCAGTACATCAGACTTTAAAATGCAAAACTGAACCTATTCCAACAAACTTATGATGCTATTTCTGATGTACCGCTGTCACTGTCAGTTCCTCACAGTCTGCGAAACAAGCCAGAGATTTCAAAGCGCTAAAATAACTCTTATTCCGTTCACAATAAAATCCAATATTGCTCTCATTTCTCTTCATTCTCAAACCCCAGTGACACACTTACCCCAATAGCTACGTCACGTCATACCGTTGGCAAACGAAATCGAGAGTGCGAAAGTGCGTGACGTATGCACGTCAGTGAAACGTCACGATGACGTCACTGTGACGTGCGCACAGCTGGCGCGAAAGCGAGAGTCACTTTCGATTTCGTTTGCTTTCAGTTTCGCTCTCGTTGCTGTGACGTATACGTTACGTAGTCGCTTTAGAGGGGGGAATGGTTTATTTTTGTTATGGAGGGGTTTCAGGTGTCGTAGAAAGTACCTAATAGTACGTTCAATATTCAATTTGTTATGGGAAATGTTTAGGTGTTTTTGATTTAAAGACAGTAAAAAATTGTTGTAAGGGTGACATTGGCAAGAAGGATTGGCAGTAGGCCATATCTTTTGCAGAACCAATGAAGGGGTCAAAGAGGGAGGAAACTATTTCTCAAGTGGAGAATACGTCAGTAAACGTGATGCCCAGCTCGATGGACCGATGATCTCAACATAGGTGACAGAGGCTGGGAGAAAAAAGCTAGAGATAGTGCATTTTTTGGCTCTATTTTGGAGGCTTACGTCTAGCAGTCAAAAACATTTTTTTATTTTTTGTTTGCTTTATTTTTGATTAACTGAGAAGGGTATACTCGGGTGAGCGTAAAAACGAATGCCTTTCAGATGATGATGAAGGTTTTGACACTGGATAAAAAATAGGGCTATTCACACCTCTCGTTCCCACCGCTACAACTCCTGTGTAGCCAAGATACCGTGGATAATAGTTTATTGACCTATTAACCTTAATCCAATGCTGCCATCTCTCCAATCAGAAACCAACTATCTACAGTGTGTTGTCCATCACTCCAAGAAGGCTACGTGAGCACAATCTGTCAAACGCCTGACGTCACAGCCATACGTCATCCGAAACCGACAGTGTATGCGATTCACTCTCGCCCAAAATTTTCGCCAGCGCGGTTTCACCTCTCCAAATGGGGTCAACTCGCTTCGCTACAAAGATATCGAGGTCATATTCCGCTCTCTAAAACGTATTTTGGCTGCACTTTCGACTATCGAAAGTTGTGACGGCGAACGACGTTGCGTTTCGTCGTTGAAAGGGACAGTGGGGCGATGCGTTGAGTTTTGTTTCGATGCATTTGTTAGAGAGATCGAAAGTGAATTTGCTTTTGATGACGTTTATTTTGTTTTAGATGCGATTTATAGAGGAATTTTTTAATATTGCTGATAGGATTTAGAACTCTCTAGTCTTGTCTATGGATTTTAATGTCATAATTATGTACCTTTTGTTTATTTGTCATCATTTCAGAGCCATAGCTTTAGTAGAAACTCGATAGATTGTTTGGACGTCTTACTCTATTCTTCTATTTTTTGTAGCATAGCACAATTTAAAAACCTTTTAAGCGTTAATGACAGCATTAGTCAAAAGTCAAATTTCGTTATTGTTTTACTGATAGTTAAACTTTCCCTCGTGGGATTAGCCTAGCCTTCATAATTGGGTTTTATTAATAATCAAGCTGTACGAGTAGGTATACCTGGCTACATAGGAGTTGCAGCGGTGGAAGCGGGAGATGGAAATAGTCTTTTAAAGAATACTAATGGCATTGAGACAATGATATGAGTTCTGCCCTACTTACGGATACTTAAGTTTAAGTACTAGTATTATATTATCTGTGGTTTAAGTAAGAAATTATTTATGCTTTTAAAAATGTTTTTAAAACAAACTTTTTAGCTAGTCCTTTTCTTTGACAGCATTTAAGTGAAAATGAAATATTATGTCACTCATAATTCCATTGTCTTTGATTGGCAAAATGACCTAAACTTTTTAAAATCAATCGCTACGTAACCAAACGTTATTGAGCTCCAAAAATTACAGATCAACCTCAAATCCCCATTCACCGACATCATATCTACAACTCGACCTCGTTGTCCAATTGCCCCAGATTCGCGAACCTCGTACCGTCCCACATTGCCTGTACCGCGGCCCCGATCGGGGCAATGTGACCTTGAGCCCCAGTTTCGACGGGGTGACCCCGTAACGCGAGCGGTTTGACCCTGAACTTTTTGGGGTCATCGAGGATGTGGGATGTTTGTTAGGTTTGGTAGGTCATGGACGTAGTGTAAGGTAGTTGTTGCCATCAATCAATAATACTAAGAGAACTTCTATAAAAACAATATAGCCATCAAAAATAATAATATTTAGTACATACTTTGAAATCAATAAAAAGCTAGTCAACTGAGTTATGCTCTTGCAATATTATTATGTTAATAATTTGTAATTTTTTTATGATACCTAATTTTTTTATCTACATAGATTTCGACTATAACCGAGGTTATTGCATTTTATTTTATGCATCTTAAACAACTAATTTCATTAAACTTAAAAAATCCATTGCCTGAAAGGGGTAAATTGAACACATGACCTTTCGGTTGCCGGCTGATTGCTCTAACCGCTAAGTTATGGAGACAATGGGTAAATCCAATGTTTCTCCCATTTTTTCAGTATTTCCCAATTTTCCCAGAAGGGATTATATTCTATAGGTCTAGCTAGCTAACTCAGTTAGTGCCTGAGGTATGAGAGCCGCATGTAGAGTATTTTTTGTGACGTCAAATTAGAGGTGGGCGCCACGCCGGCGCGCCGCCGCCGCCGCGAAATTTTTCACGCCGCCGCCGCCGACGATCGGCTGTCGGCGCGCCGACTCCTGACTATTTGTTTTTTTTTTTACAAATATTTATACTGTGCGGGAATCGAATCCGCGACCTCCGGCATAGATTACTAACGTTTCTAACACAAAATTGCAAAGAACTGCATGCCTAGCAATACCGAGTGCATTTAGGACTACGCCAACTAAGCATTGGAAATTATTCTGCGACTGCCTCCACTGTACTTGGCGCTAGAAGTGGACGCAAGAAAGGCGCTGCACTGACTGAAGGGGGCGGGACTTTGAAACCTGACTTTTGAGNATCACATATTTTTTTTTTTAATAATTTTAAACTTACTACCCATTTCCTCATAAACACGTAGAGGTATTAAATTGAAATTCATACCAAATACTCAGGTCTATAATACCTTTAAGCTGTAACAAACTCAAACTTTTATGTCAACGCAATTAAAAGAAACAGCAATTTAAGCTGCATATTTTGAAACTCGCAAGTACTCTCAAGGGAATCAAAACCTAAAGGGTACTTCCAGTCGACCTAGAATCTTGAAATTTGGCATGAAGCAACGTTTTATAGCACACAAAGGAAAAATTCCGAAAACCTTAAATTTTTAGTTACATTACAAAATATCTTCTATAATATAAAAATGAATCGCAAAATGTGTTGGTAAGCGCATAACTCAACAAGGCCTGGACCAATTTTACCAATTCTTTTTTTAAAATGTTTGTTGAAGTCCAAGGATGGTTTTTACAGCGAGAAAGGTTTGAATAATTTCCGGGTAAACCCTAAAAAACTCGAAACTTCACCCCTAAGGGTAAAACGGGCTCCACGCGTACGAAGTCGTGGGCGGCCGCTAGTTTTTTAATAAATATAAACTTATTACTTTTTTCCTCATGAACGCGTAGAGCTATCAAGTTGAAATTCATATCAAATACTTAGATCTAATTGCCTTTAACCCGTGAAAAAAAAACATAGTTATGAGTCGATTGTCGTAATGAACGAACTTTGTAAACCTTGCAGGTTTGTACGGAACCCTCGGTGCGCGAGTCCGACTCGCACTTGGCCGGTTTTTTTTTTCGTGTCGTGGTGAATCACTCGTTGCGACAATGCCGTTTTGCAAGTAAAGTAAAACAATAAAGGCAACCTTACCTGGCTGCCGTTCTATTGTGCAGTGCAACCCCGTAATTGAATGGGACTTTAATAAAAATGTTTTTAATTAATGACCACTTTAGTAACTGTGATGAGTTTATGCAATAACGAGCTAGAGTTTGTTGTTAGAAGAAAATTTAAAGTAAGAAGTTGCAGTAAGATGAAAACGGTCTAAAAACTCAATGAACGATTATTTTGCGATACTCATGATGGTAAAATATACTACGACGTTCTGCAAATAATAGAAGTTACTAATTGTGAATTTAATTATTAACATCAAAAACTTATGATTTCTATAATACTATACTGTGTTTCTTTAAAGTGTCATTTAATGTAAATACATACACTTTATTAATCTTTCTGTGACATACAATTCTCACGCGTA